TGCAGCCTTGTTGATGTTGTCTCGGGCCCTAGCTAGCCCCACTAGGTAAGGAAACTGTGCTGAACAGCTCAAATTAGGAAAGCCCCATGAAAGAACCCTATTTTGGCGAAATAGGGTTTCACGATTGTGGATTGTTTTGCAACCTGGGGGTCAAGAAGACAGACAGGCAGGCAGTCAGGCAGGCAGCCAGACAGACAGACAAACAGACAGCCAGACAGACAGAGGCGAGGTGACTGAAATTATTCAAAATAAACGAGACGAGGTGAATAATTTCAAAACATTTTTCAAAACATTGAATTAAGACGAGGTACGAGGTGAACGAAATTAATGAAGTTCATTTAATTCACCCAGATGTATGCATGCATGCATGTATGTATGTATGTATGCTATGCATGTTATGTATGTACGTATGTATGTTATGTTATGTTTGTATTGTACCGTACTGTATTGTACTGTATTGTATTGCATTGCGTTGTATTGTATTGTACTGTATTGTATTGTGTGTGTTCAATTCTATATCACCCGCCTCATCTCAAGAACATCATCGCGATTCGTGGCGCTCACATAGAGTCATGAAGCAACATAGTTTGCTGACGTGCTTTCTTAGTGACAGAGTGCAACTCAGATTGTGGACATTCAGCCTGACAGTGGGTTTCTACGAACCGCAGGGCGAACACTCGTTTGGTGCCAGGGATTCGATCAAAGACGAGTCAGTTCAGTCCGTTGAATGGCACGGTGTTGCGGTGGGAATGGTTGGGGAGCATGAAAACGAAGCTGGCTTGCATTCACATGTGTCGACTAGGAGGCTCTAAGGAAACTAGTCATTGACTGATTAGAGATATGTGGTATGTGGACTCCGCTCAGAACTAGATGGGTAGCTGTTTTCAACATGACCCCTCCTCACGTTTCCAATGTTGGGGTCGTTTCACTCAGGGAACCACGTTGGTGGAGAATCGAAACCACTCTTGGAGACGCAAAGGCTGAGGCTTACAGGGTGCTTAAGGTGACCGGACCAGTTGCACCCCTCACATGTCGTAGTGTGCATTTTCATGTCGTCACATGTCTTCAGGTCATCATCACCTCGGACCGGGACCGTCAGACCCTGGCCGCGGTCACAGAGGACTTGCCCGTGTACCTGGCGCCCGAGGGCTGTTGCATCATGCGGCGCCCAGGGGAGACCGAGGAATGGATCCATCTGGTGGAGGACAGCGATGTTGAGGGCCGAGAGGAGTGGATGGACGGAGTCAATGCTGTGACCCGGAGTCAATCCCGTGGGCGAAGGTCCAACAGCGTGGGCTTCCCGGAGGGTGGAGCGGGTGGAGGGCGGGGCGCAAAAACATCTGAACGCCGTGAGTTTTGTGACGCGTTCCCTAATTGCTTCCTTCCGCTACTTCGCTGAGGTCTTCAACTACTTCGCGGAGCGTACGCCGGGCTCCTACATCGAGAAGCAAGAATACATGCAGCGCGGTGAGTGTATGACGAGCGTGCGTTTCCTGTACGTGGGTTCCACGGTTCTCCAGGTCTCGGTGCGGTCGTAGGCCATTGCTATTCGGTTGGAGGCCATCGCCAGCAGGAAAGATGGGTTTTGTATGTTTTTCTCTGGATGTGATGACATGAACATGTGGGTCAACTGAGGTGGACCTTAGAAAGCCGACTTTTTGGTGTTCATCACATGGCATCTCATGATCCTCTTTTTTGCGATGAAAGACATTGAAAGGATATGAAAGGATCATGAAGGCAATCTCTCATTCTGGTGCTGTGGCAGGATTTCTGCATGGAGCCTCAGCCTCAGGCTTTCAAATCGAGACGGATCTCGAAACCATCCACGCCCATTAAGTTGTTGTGTCCCAACAATGATAGAAGTGGTGGACCACAGTACTAGGTTTGGCCGTGCTCCAATGCCTCGCCTCGTGTGCGGAGCCTCTATCAAAAGAATGTGATCATCAGGACTCTTTTGTTTGCATTGCCCACCAAAGCGGGGTGCAAAGTTGCACAGGTCGTAATCCTTTGAAGGCTGGGGTCAAGAGGCAGCCTGCGGTGGTTGTTGAATTGTTCATGCAAGCTCCCCCATCCTTGTTTGCAAGCCTCAGAGTGATCTGCTCAACTGGCCTTTGGGTAGCACATGTCTCTTATATAGCTCAACTGCTACCCGTTGGGTGTCGTGACCTTTTGTGCCTTTCAGGTACCGCTGGAGCTGGGACAATGCGCAGTTTGACTTCGGCTCCGCGCAAGCGCGCGAGGTGCTTATCCACCTTTGGGCGGGGCCCTTGGTGAACAGTGAGGCTGAGGTGGTCGTCGGCGACCGTGCGATCACTGTGCGGCCCCATGCGTGCTCGCGGGGCGCCTGCCTGGAGAAGTTGCTGAGACACTTGGAGCAAAAGCTGGGTGGATTTCACAGGCTGAGCGTTGGTGTCGAGCGTGTAACAATCAAGTTCGCAGAAACCCCACTCCCAAAGCTTGGGAACTCCAAAGCCCGGAAAGCAGCAGACAGTTTGCACTAACATAGTAGCAGAGAAACACCGAGCCGCCCCTTCTCAAGTCAGAGAAACATCGAGCCTCACCGAGCCTCACCCCGCCCTGAGGTAACGAGCTGAACGGTCTTCAGCAGGTAGACTTCGCCTTGTGCTTTGCCGTGGTCTCCCACCGCGACGAGGACGTCTTTGAGACCGTAGAGGTCCTCCGGCCGGTTGGCTTTGCCCGGTTCGGGCGGCTCAAGTCTTATTGAAGAAGATCCTCGCACATGTTGAACGTTGCTAGAGAGATCGCTGAGCAAAAAGGTCGAAATGGTTCAGGAGTTCTTGTGTCCGGAAGGCGGCTGGTAGGATCGTTGCGCCTACTGAAAGTGCGGGAATTGGTCCAATCCCGCTTCATAGACCACCATCTATCTATGGCTTGGTTTTGGGGGGCAAATGTTGATAGATCCCGCAGGTCCTGGCTGTATAAGAATTTCATGGAATTTCTAAATAGTTCTAAGTGCTGGAAAACAGCGTCAATATGGGAGCTTTCAGATGATGGCTTGTATTGTCGATCCATTGGAACTTTCATGAACTTTCGAAGGCCTTCTTCGAGGAGTCTATGGCCTCTGACTTTGGATATGCCAGTGCTGGAGATGGAGATGCAACTGCAAGTGGCCTTTGAGCTGCATGGAACTGCATGTTTTGGGAAGAGTTTTTGAACACCCATTGGTCAGAGGCACCCTTGCTTTTTTGAGAGCACCTCATTTCGTGCATGAACAAGAGGCTTCTTTGAAGCCCAAGAGGGCCAGAATCACTTGGCTTCAGCCTTGAAAGCCCAGAGGGCTAAGTTCAACTTTTGTTTGCAGAAATGGGTGAACAAACATCCGTGGAATCAAATCAAAAGAATTGCGCATGCATTTGCTGATCCATCCTTGGAGGCAAGCATAGCACACTCATGGAGATCTTGTGTGCTGTCACACATGTGGCTTCAGAAGTCACGAAAGCTAGCACCAGCTAGCTGGAGCTGTTCGCTTTACCAAGTGAGGGGCTGGAATCCTTGAGAGCGCCGCATCGCGTGAAAACTTCATGCGTACGGCCCCCCTCCCCCTCGGGTTCAACTCCTCCCTGGGACGTCTCCCTGCCCTGCTAGCCCTCGGCCTCAAGTTCCATACATTGATGGACCCTCGAAGATGAAGCTATCTCCGCTTTGCAAGTTGAACACGCATGGAACACTCGCTTTGGCCGACCCTCCCAAACGGAAGCCGGCAAAGTCACCCAAAACGCCACGGCTTAGAATGTTTGTGCATCCCAACAGGGTTGGAACTGGTTTGTCGTTTCGAGTGCTTGTTAATGAGATGTCAACCTTTTTCTTGGAATGATTAATTGGCAGCCAATGATTATATAACTGAATATGCATATTTAAAAGGTGTGCATGTTTTCAGGTGGGTCCAATTCAACCAGAGAAGGACCCGCAGGTCTTCAAAGCAAACAGGGGTAGCCTGGGGATGGACACTTGCACAGCTCATGAACAGGTGCCAATTGAGCAATCGCTAGGCTGGACTTACCAAGGCCACCAGTAACTGTGGGCCCACGCTTTCGCAGAATGTGGGAAAGTACATGAAGCCGTCATGAAGCCATGCCTTGAAACCAGCTGAATCCACGTGTTGCAATGATTTCAAGTGCTTTCTTTTTCGGTTTCGGAAAAACTCTCTTTGGTTGAGTCTTTCGGCGGTCCAGGCTTAGCGACGGGCTTGATGAGCCTTTGCTCCTCCCCACGCTCCTCGGCCGATGGCCGGGCCGGCTCCTCTGTGCTGCAGACGCCCACGGGGCCAGCGCCAGAGGTGCAGCCAGGACAATGACTTCGGGTGGAGTTCAGTCGACGGGTTTGAATGTGTTTGAGATCCCCTCAGATGGAGATGTTTGACCATTCGGGTTGGTTTTTATTTGGTAGACTGACAACATTAGTTGCAAGAAGTCGCTTCCATTATTCCTGAGGTTGAAGTGTGGGAGCTAGCAGATATACAGTGAGCAGTACAGTACAGTGAGCTGGAGCTCCGGCCAAAAATTCACCGGCTGCGGGGAGCGGTTGTTTTTTTGCATGTTTTGGGATGCTCTTTGGATTCGCAGTGATTTAGTTATCTTTAAAACAAGGGTGGAGGCCATCGCTATTATTAGTAACTCCAAAGACGATCGGTTCTTGAACATCCGCCAATACAGCACAAGACCTCTCAGAAATCTGTTTGCTGTGAGGCCCCGGCTTAACTTTTCAGATCAATCACTTCAGCAAGATACTCCCAATGTGACATGGCAAAGTGAACAATTGTATGCAAATGATATCGAATGTAAACATGAAAACAATATATATATATATATATATATTATATATATACTATATATGAAAATCTATGAAATACTGCATCGAGATCAATCCAGCTCACTGCAATCCATGCCAGGAGAGGAACCACCACCCTATGACTGGGTCCCTACCGCACAGCGGGAAAGGGAGGAACAGCAACGCCAGGAGAAAGCTTGAAACAGGGCTTCAGTTTTATGTGCTAATTCTGTTGTGTTTGGAGGGGCGCCTTTCAGAAAAGGGTTCGTATGTGTTGATGTAATTACTTTGATTGTAGTTCTGTGTGGGTAACACAGGTCTTTTGTAAAGCTTTGAGATCCTGATATGAATTCGAAATGCAAGCTATAATAAATTCCGGCAGCGGCGTGCTTCGCAAGCTTTGCTGCATGGTGTGGGTGAATGCATCCATCACACCGTTGGTTGGCTTGGTGCTACCCTCTTAGCACCTGGATTTTGGAGGGTGCCCATACCAGCACTCCAACAGGCCTTTTATTTAATGTTTTTGTGACCGAGAACAGTCACCCGGGGATACCGACGAAGTGTGTGTTCAGATTAGAGCCTTTGCGAAAAGTCTATTTATGAAGGAATGGAGAAGTATACGTGGAAGTGGGCCAGTGTGTTTGAATTGAGCTCAGCTGGGTGCTGAAATTACATTTAATTTAAATCTTCAACTGTGCTCAAGTCGATGAATTCGCTTTTGCAGGAGAGCGACCTGCCCGCCGTCTCTGCACCTGATGGTGATGCCCAACCGCACCGCCAGCTCTCCGGTGATCTGGAAGAGGAGAAAACGCCCAGCGCATCTGCTGACTGGAACGACCTGCGACGCTATGCGTCCTGTCCCTTCGGCCGAAGGGGGCCAAGCGGCGAAGCCGAAGCGACGAATCCAAAGCGGAACTAAGGGCATTGCCCGAACTAGGGGCTCCCGGCATCGCTACAATAGGAACAAGAAGCTACTAGGAACAAAGGGCAGTTTTGATGGACATTTTTAGCGGCGTCCGTTTCGAGGGGCCGCAGGTCCAAGGGCATCGTTGGTTTCTTTTGTTGGAGGCGCTGCGAAGCTGGGGGAACGTGGGTTTCTTCTTCGAGGTGGTGTCAGGATGACGTGACCAGTGGTGGTGCTTTAGGGATGGGTAGGGTCCTGGTGTTTTCGATTGTGGTTCCTTCCTTTTGCTGGAGTGGGACTGAGCGTTTGAATCAGACCAGCCCACTGCTGGCCAACTGTTGGAAGAATGGAATAATGGATTGTCATGCATTCTTCCACCCAAACACCAGTCAGTTTGTAGAATGGCTGGGCTGAACGATTCCTGGAGTGCTAAGGCTACACCATGTCACTTGGCATGAAGAAGACCAAGGCGCAGTACGCCCTTCCCCATCCGCACCGTGGCATCAAAGCTGTGTAATCAGGTGATTTCCGGTGCGAGGGGGTCCGATTTCTTCGGACATGTTTCAGTGATTTCTTGGCTTCAGTAGGCTTTTAAATGTTTGCAAACATGGAGGTATAGAATCACATATCCGAGGCAAATTCATCACAATCCACAGTCGCAGCTATAGTTCAATAGAACATATATTGCATGATCATCCCAAAAATGAAACATTCACTTGAGAGTTGTTTTTTCAACCCAGGGATATGCGGGATGTTGATATTGAACCATTGCGTGTCGCAGTGTGGATGCTTTATTTTCCCAGTTGTGCGGGCAAATGACGTCGTGCAAAGCTTCCAAACTCTTGGTGACGGCATGAACTCCGTCAGCCCAGGTATCATGTACAAAACTTGATTCGAGCGATGGCGGCCAGGCTGCCGCAAGTTTAGGCTGCCAGGTCCATCTTGGTGGCTTCTGTGAGGGCGCTGCCTGCGTTAAAATGTGCACTTGGATGCATGACCATCTTCATACAATGACTGATTGAACTTAGCAAAGGGCTCAGTGCCAATCCTGAATCAACTTGGGCGGATGGCGTTCGATTGCTTTCATGACTTCCATGGTGTTCTCGCTTGAAGAAGGTGGTCAGTGTGCCATGGTGGGTCGTCGCTGCCTCCCGTGGGTCGTCCGAAAGCCGGACTCGCTCAATGCCACGTGTGGCGCACAGAAAAAGGAAGACGGTTCACCGATGGTCACGGCTTGTCACGGACGTGGCGGATGACTCCATGACCCCCAAGGGCGAAGTGGTTGTAGAGAGGTCCTCCCGAGGTGAATGTAGTTCAGCGCTATGAAATCCGGAACTACTGAAGTTTGTGTGGTGCAAAAGGCTACCAGACACTTCTCACGTGTAACAGGCTTCGCTTAAATGTTCAGAAGGAGCTGAAGAACGAAGGCCAAAATAGCTCTTTGTTTGGACGGGGGGCTCACCAAGCAAGACATAAAGCCAGGCAGCGGGGGCCCTTTCAAAAGAGTGTCATTCCACGCGAAGAGTGCATAAGACTGCAAATACATCACCTGTCTCCTTTGGGTGTTGAATGACTCCACCCTCTCTGCAAATGATTTTCTCAGCATCACGTCGCCAGGGCGAAGGTGAAGTCGGATGCCTGGCTCCAAAAGAAGGAGCAAGAGGCTGAAGAAGCAGAAGCTGGGCGCAAGCAACGTCGGTCTTCCGCTTTGACAGGGAGATCTAGACAGCGTGAGTCGGGGGAGTTCGACACACAACCCCCAAGACCACTTGGGGACCGTGCACGCTGAAACCATGTTTGGGGTTTTGAATGCATTGGTATGGAAGAAGAAATGCCAGGCTATAGTAGGTTCATTGGTACGGGCACATTCCTACGCTTCGGCTGTTGTTTCACATATTTACATCTCGCGACTGCAGTTCATGTTGGTTTGGTGTCGACACACAGAAATCCGAGTCTAGGGTGGACTTGGAGTTCCGAGCTCAACTAGGCTTCAGGGCTTAATGTAGGACCTCACACAATGGGTGCAGGCTTCTTGTTGGTTACAGTATGTTTGGCCATGCAACTTGCTTTTCCGCGTAGATGGACCATTTTTGGGCGGAAATCCATGGACATCCCATCCACCAACACTCCACAGCATGATATCAATGATTGAAATCAACCTCTCAACAGGGTCCACGATTTCCACTCAACATCTCCTGATATGTTTGAGCATTTTCAACATCGGCCCTGTGATTTCACCTGCCGGCGCCAGCGGCCAATGCTTTCTGAGACGGAAAATGGTGCTAGGAACCTTTAGGCTAGAGAAACATAATTACTTCTTTTGGCATTTGTGCAGATCCAGATCTCATAGATTGTGGATAGTTCGGTGGCCGGTCAAACTCTGCAGAGAGAGAGAGAGAGAGGGAGAGAAAAATCAAAGAAAGACGAAGAGAGCCCATATCTACATGATGGAAATGATTCTACGCCCCGTTTGGTGTAATTAGGGCACCCTTCAGGCAATCCTTGATAGACCATCAAGCCAGTACTATATTGTAGCAATGAGTTGCCCTACAAGATGAAATTTGTCGGTGTAACATGGTGTAACTGACAAACTATATAAACCTTCTATAGTCCAAGCAGTAGTGCTTGAACCCAAGGGTGGTTCGTGGACACCCCCAGTCTCTTCAAACATCTTCAAACGGGCCATGTTCAACCCAGAAATCCCTCATGAGTCGTCCTTTTGGTTATCCTTTCTCAAGTGTTGCCTTCAGACTACCGTCGACGGATTTCCGACCGGGCACAGGCTCATGGCCGATGGCCCATGATGTATCATGATGTGTCATGGTGTGGGGCCACCTCGGTGGGGAACTCCAACAAAAACCTGCAAGAACATCCCCAGTCCATCAAAAAGCACTCCATTTTGCCCTCCATCTCAGGAAGCTGCTCGGCTCAAGGCTTTGAAGGCCCAGGACTCCCTCCGGCACGGTGCAGCTGGCAGTTGGCGGCACGGGTCGAGTTCTGGTGCTTGAAGCATTCAAAGCATCCGAGTTCGCCTGCACACATAAACTCCAGGGTCGTACATGGTGGTACAGGGACCTTACAAAAGTTGCAGTGCACAGTTGCGCGTAACATATGTGCAAGACGTGTTTGAGATCGTGCTCAAATTGCTTGGGGAACCGAATCTCCACTTTAACCATCCCGCAATCTGGACCTGGATGAGCTGGCATAACCCATGTATTCGTAAGCCATTCCGGGCGCCGGTTAGGAGTGGGACGACATCCCCGACACCAAGCCTGGAGGTGAAGCGGAAGGCTTCAGCCCAGAGCCAGCAGCCCAGTGATGTGACGACAGCGGCGAGAACTCACCAGGCAGTGGCCGCAAAGTGGACGGCAATGGACGGCAGTGGACGTAGATTTGAACGGATTTTCAAGATGGACAAGTGATGGACAAATGATGGAACGCCTGTTGTCAAGACGCCAGATGGCACATACCAGGACCCTCGTTAGGCAATCATTTCTGCCATTCTTCATTCAGGCGGAGAAAACATCCATGCCAAGGCACTAGTCCCTGGTCCAAAGGATTTGGTGACATGTCACCACGATGATTAATCCAGCCAAGCCACTGATTGTACTGGGGAGGGTGCAGGTAAGAATGCCTAAGTCCAAGTATTACACGGGAAAGGAATTATGCAAAAGATGAGGCATGAAGAAAGTAAGAAAGAGAGACCACGTATCAAGTCAATTTCTAGCAAGCGCTGGTTGCTCATCATCACTATTGGACTGGGTGGATCCTTACACAAAGACAGGAACGCCTAAGCACGGGCAAAGGCACCTTTACCATATTGTAGGCAGACTGTTCTGCACATAGTTCGCGGTATATGTGATGCACTTATAAGGCTCCATCCTGTGTGAAATTCTCGAGATCTCAAGAGTATGACTCCAGGTTCACTCACAGATGCTTTCCAAGTGTGACGCAAGATGCGGTGGCCAATTATATGGGCCGAGATTTGTGTTTTTCATGTTTTACCCAACGACTGGTGACTAGTGGATCTATTGGGCTTGCATACAGGGTGTCTTGACACTGGTTTGCATGACCAAGGCTCGAGCCACTCGATGATTTCGAGGAGGAGGACCAGAAGATTAATGCACTCAAGATCACTCAAGAAGATATGTGATGTGGCGTGCGGGTCAGGAGGCAACCCAATGCAGCTATTAACATGACTGACTGACACATAACCATGGAATTGCAGGGCTTGGAAAGTAAGCTATATGCAGCCGGCTCACGCTGTTTGGAGGCACACTCCATGCTGAAGGATGGTTGATCTTTCAGGTGTTCCTAGTAGTAATGCCAGGAGCTACTAGAATCGTCCTTGCTCCTAGTAGCGATGTCCTTTGTTACTATAGTAGTTTCTTGTAACTAGTAGAAATGCCCTTTGTTACTAGTAGCTTCTTGTTCAATGTGTTCCAGAGTGTGCCACCCATACTCCTAGTGGTCCTAGCCGCGCATGAAGGGAACGTTCCGCTGCATCGATCGCCAGGAGACTGGCATTTATAGTCCAGTTCTCGAACCTCTTAGTAAGGATCCCAGGAGCGGCGAGAACTGCGACCCGGTGTTTCTGGGGTCCCGGACGGCACGGCGGTTTTCTGGTGTTGCTGTCCTAGGCAAGTACGACCCAGATGAGCTGCTGGATCCAGATGAGGAGATCGGGATGCGCCACAGGGGTCCTGAGAGAAATCTAAAAAGGAAAGTTATCAGTGATGAGAAGTCTCCTACAAGAGGGAAGGGGGCCAGGTGTAAGCCGTTTGAAGCTACATTCTGCAGGCACTAAAGGCGGCCATCTTCGGAAAACCTTGCGAGCTTTGGCTTTTAATGCTCACCCTGTCACAGGATTCCTTAGGATTCCTTTGCTTTTTGCTGCCAATTTGCCTACTTGAGGTTGGGGTCAACACAACACCCCCAAAACAAGTTGTTTCAGTAGAGTAGACTGTACCATATTCTGTTCGATGTGTTTGGGTGTGGCCTAATTACGCTGCCACAACCATGGTCTTTGACACAGCAATGCCAGGACTTGCGAGTGTTGCAGCAGGTGAGGACGGGCGTCTTTGGGCCTAGTGGCCTAATGGCGAAGATTCTAAGAGACATGGAAAGCCCTAAGATGCTTTGTTGCTGGCAAGGCCCATATCAAACACCAATGACGTTTGATTTCGGAATTGGCGGAATGTGATATTAATTTCAGCCACTCTTCATTGACCCTCAAACCACCCCAATGTAGGTAAATATGCCATACATGGAGCGTCTGGGTATGGCATGGGATTTGATGGTATGTCCTATCTTACGAGGGCTTTTACCAGGTGCTCTTTTAGGTTTGCCTCAAATGGATGTTCACTATTTTCCCTTCCATAACAGTGCTTTTTTGATTCAGCTTTTGTAAAACACCACCGGGATGGATTCGTAGCCTAGTCGACAGTTCCAAAGACGGCGGGCCGAGCATCGTGAATCCCGTTGTGGGATCTGGGCAACATCATCTCCGCACCCCAAACGACCTACTCACTGTGCCAGGTCCGAAACACCATCATTGAAGCCTTCGGCTCGGGCCCTAGGGGTTGCTGGTTATATAGGTGGGTATGTCTTCCGGAAGCTAAGCTAGGAGTCCCAGCAACCGATGCTCTTGGCTGCCCTTACATTGGTCCTCATTGATCTACAACCTTCTAGACTCTAGACAAGCCAGAGATCAAGGTACAGTACAGTAATTATTTTTCAGGACTCACTTCCGCCAATGGATGAATGCCCCTTCAACTTCAGAAACTCTGTCCATTCACCATCCCCTTCCAAATTCTGGTTGGAATCACAGCCGCAAAAAAGTAGACTCACATTTCCTCCACAAGCAAGGCTTTTTGCATGGTTTTCCGCCTCCATGTTGGAGCCGAGGATTCTCTATACTATATGTACACCGAAACCAGAAAACATTTTGCTTGGACCAAACCCAGGGCAGGAAACATTTGCTTAGCAGGAGCTACTAGTAGCGTCCTTGCTCCTAG